GAACATGAAGCTTACGGACGTTACGTTATCACGTTATGATTTTGATTGGTCAGAACAAATTTGCAGTCGTAGTCTTAGCGGTTGTAGTCCTGTAGTCCAAACATCAACAGTTTTTGGAGAAAATATGTTTGAATTTCTAAAGGAAATGTAAAATATAAGCAGATGATAAACGGTGGCCCTCAAAAGCTCTTGATGTTGATGAAATGGGGCAAAATAAAATATAAGAACTTTATTGAAAGACACCAAGCAACATTTAGAGTCAAAGAATGTATTTAGATAACAACTAAGGAAATATACCGACAAACTCCACATGAATACAAACAGATATGGCTTCACATATAAAAACCGTTCTGTTTGTCAGTCCGGTGTTGGTTTTATGCAGTTTCACATTCTTTACTAAACAAAGATAATATGGTGTTTTATTAACAAATTACAATTATAAAGAAAACATTTAGGTGTTAACAAACAAGAATTTATTAACACAACTGTTGATGTCTTTCCTAAACGTGTGTGTGAAAGCAGAGTGGATTTGCAGTCATGTGACGTCATCGGCAGTCGATGGACCTCGAGCCGATCCTGCACCCGAGCCGATCCTGCACCCGAGCCGATCCTGCACCCGAGCCGATCCTGCACCCGAGCCGATCCTGCACCCGAGCCGATCCTGCACCCGAGCCGATCCTGCACCCGAGCCAATCCTGCACCCGAGCCGATCCTGCACCCGAGCCGATCCTGCACCCGAGCCAATCCTGCACCCGAGCCGATCCTGGACCGACACCGGCCTTACACTCTGGAAAAGCCTTCCTCTGCAGATCAGGACCTCTCAAAATCTGGATGTATTTAAGTCCTTGCTTTAAACTCCTTTCTTTAACCTGGCTTTTATGTAGGATGATTTTGTTTTGTCATTGTCACTCTTTCTCATTTTTATTGATTTTATAATCGTGTGATGTAATGTTGTTTTTATCCTAACTTGCTGATTATTATGGTTTTGGTTATGCTGTCTTGCTTCGTTATCTTGTGTGTCGTACAGCACTTTGGGTTGTGGAAGCAATAAGTGTGCTTTAGAAATAAACATTACCTTGATCTTGTGTATGTGTGTGTGTGTGTGTGTGTGTGTGTGTGTGTATGTGTGTGTGTGTGTGTGTGTGTGCGTGTGTGTATGTGTGTGCATGTGTGTGTGTGTGTGTGTGTGTGTGCGTGTGTGTGTGTGTGTGTGTGTGTGTGTGCGTGCATGTGTGTGTGTGTTTGTGTGCATGTGTGTATGTGTGTATGTGTGTGCATGTGTGTGTGTGTGTGTGCGTTTGTGTGCATGTGTGTGTGTGTGCATGCGTGTGTGTGTGTGCGTGTATGTGTGTATGTGTGTGTGTGTGTGTGTGCGCGTGCGTGCATGTGTGTGTGTGTGTGTGCGTGTGCGTTTGTGTGCATGTGTGTATGTGTGTGCATGCGTGCATGTGTGTGTGCGTGTATGTGTGTGTGTGTGTGTGGCCACTGATGAATGGATGCGATTAGCAGTGAGGATGACACCAGCACCTTTGGAGGACCCTGCATGATTACTGGACATCACCAGACTTTGGGAAACAAGCACTCAGGAGGAAAATCACTCCCATAAAGTGACATGAACACCACAAAATGACACATTCAAGCGCGCGCGCGCACACACACACACACACACACACACACACACACACACACACACACACACACACACACACACACACACACACACACACACACACACACACACACACACACACACACACACGCACACACACACACACACACACACACACACACACACGCACGCACACGAGGAACACCTGACTGACCTCCACAACTAATTAGGTAACTGGGACACGATCCAGGCTTCTTCATCCACACCTGATCAGCAGGGCTCCTGTATCTCAGATGCACTGGGCCTCACAGACGGGACGGTCCCTGGATAAATCTAAAATATTTACAGTGTCAGAAGGACCTGCCCCCGAGCTGAAAGGCCCCAGAAATCATCTAGATTTGAGGTTCACAGGCTGCAGTTTAAGGAGCTCATAAGATCTTCGGTGGTAGAGGTGATAAGCTCTGGGGTCTCTTACTTTGCTCTGCTGATTCCCTTAAACAAAAACAACTCTGAAGTTCTGTTCGGCAACATAAACCATTCTTTTAGAATAAAAACAGAAATACCAGGACACGGTTCCTACCACCCCATCCAACCACCTTCCTCCCAATCACGGTCCTTTACTCCTGCACAGGTCCAGGATGTTTTCCTCGTTCAGAATCACATGAAACCAACTTCGTGCCCTCTTGTTATTGTCTTGATTGGCCCACGCATTCATCTGTCTCTCCAGTCTGGCCTGTTTCCTCTGTTTTCAGACATGCAACCTTAAGTTAGGAGTCTGGACTCCTCTCAGCCTGAAAGTCACAGACCCATTTCTAAACGGCCCTTTTTCTGGAAAACGTTGGAGAATGAAGCAGATCAACTGGAACGTTTACAGTGTTAGTGATGTTAGATCTTTCCGCAGCTTCTGACTCTCACAACAAAACCAACAGACCAAGAAAACCCGCTGATACCCGGCTGCTCGTCTGAAGAGAAAATTAACAACAATGCAAAACGTTACATTTGTCAGAAAACTAGGCTGCCACGTACGCCCTAAAGCTCATTTACACACACACACACACACACACACACACACACACACACACACACACACACACACACACACACACACACACACACACACACACACACACACACAGCATGGTAAACAACCCCCCAAGGTGCTTCACCAACAGAGTGAGTCATCCACCCATGCACACACACATGCACATGCTGGTAATGATAAGCCACATGCAGCCACAGCTGCCCAGGAGGCAAAAACAAACGTTTACTTCTCCACACCTGAAAACCAAACCTACTGTTATGACTGATATGTTGAGCTGAAGCGGGAGGATGGGACGGGTACGTTCTAGATCAGCTTTAAAAACACACTCCCATCGACACAAATGGACAAACTGAATCTGCGCTGCATGTTTATTTATTTATTTGTTTATTTTATGAAGCCCCTGCGGCTCTAGACCCATTGCAGTTGCCTAGCAGTCCTCTCGTCTCTGCTCACAATCCCAGCGTGACTGATGGCTTTAATCAGACCCCGATGCCCTTCAGGACTTGTGTTTCTGGCCGTTCTGCTGGCCCGTGTAACCTACAACACCCATCACGTGTATCTACGTGTAACAAATGTGGTGTTTGGATTCGTGTGAATCAGAAATCGTGTTGTAAACTTACGACTAAATGCGCTTCGAACCGTTTTTACGCCTCTTCACAGCGCTCCAACATAGTATAGCTATAAATATAGTGTGTGAATAAAGTGCCTCTCTCACATTTGTCTACACTTCAGACTGAAAGCAACCATTGGACCATCCTGATGTCGGTCTCACACCTCCCTGGGTCCTCCGCTCATCACACACTCATGTCTTCAGCAGCTCAACACCACTGGTGTGGAAGGTTCTCTGCTCACGACCCTCGTCCCCTCGGTCCTGCTCGTCATCCTTATCTGAGCCTGCTGTCCCCACTGCCGAGTTTTCAGCACCTGGGACAGTTCCCAGAGCAGCTCGCTCTCCCTCCGTGGCAGTCCAGGACCTTGGAGAGAGGCACGCCAAAAAGGCAGCAGCTGATCTGAATCAGCCATCAAGCAGCACCACGGGACTTCAAAAGAGGAGCACAGCCAGTGTTGCCAGATGTACGATAATTATCGTATTTGTACCATAATTTTGGGCTCTGTACGATCAATAGTTTCAAAAATCCTCAAATGTACGATAATTTCACATTGCATCTAGTAACACCGTCTTTTGCTGTGGCTTTCCCAAGTCGATTACATAATTTTAAACTGTTCTGAAGTCAGATTTCACCTCAGTGCTTACAGGTATATGCTATTGTGTCTATTACAAAAACTGACTCTGGATCTGTGCAATAAATAGCCCAATCACATCGATAGGGCCTACTCTCGCGAGAAACTGTGAGGTTATATAATGTGGCAGTGGCCCGCCAGTTTTTGCTGTTTTCCCGCGAGCGCGCCGAGTTAAGTCTAATGTAGGAGGACAGAGCGACGAGACAATGGCTTCTAATCTTAAAAGAAAAACCAGAGAAGGGACGGATTAAACAGGGCAATATAAAACACCTTCATATATTGGAGTGAGAAGTCGTTTATAGAACGTTATTATCAAATTTATAATGAACGATAATTTGTACTGAAAAACGATAATTTAAGCTTCTCTGTACGATATTGTGGAATTTTGGATCTGGCAACACTGAGCACAGCAGACATTCGAGGAGGTCCAGAACTAGTCTGCAATCCTCCTGCGCCGGTGTACTAGTTTATTCTAGTCCGAGCTACTGCTAGGCCTGGACCTCTCTCCCCCTGAGTCTGAGATCAGTGGACTCAGTGGTCTCCTTTAAACTCACCTGTTCAGGCTTTGGTGGGACCTTCATCACCACCCTCTCCTTGTTCTGCCCTTATTCCGCCTTTCCTGGGATCCACCGATTTCCCTCTTTCCCTTTCCTCATATTTTTAAAATAACAAAAATTTATCACATTCTTATGATATTTTAAAAATATTTCTTAAAATCTCATTTTTTTATGTTGTTTTTGTGGAGCACCTTGTGATTTTTATCTTGGAGGCGCTGTATAAAATGAATTAGATGCTTCTGTTTGGTCCAAAGAACAATTATATGTTACGGTGGAACAATTTTAAACAAGAAAAGTGTAGTTTCACTCATTTTTTTTCTAGATGTTTTGATTTATTTCCCACAAGAATCCAGCTGGATCTAAATGACGTTTCAAGCACAGATGAAAGTGTTTGAAAACAACCGTGAAAAGAGAGTTCTTACTTCTTCATCTGTAAACTTTTCTCTTCGTGAAGCTGATTCCTGAGGCTGCTGGGGTCTCCTCATTCATGAAGCAACACTGGCTCATTCCCGGAGCTGCTGGTCAAAAACAACACACACACACACACACACACACACACACACACACACACACACACACACACACACACACACACACACACACACACACACACACACACACACACACACACACACACACACACACACACACACACCGGGATTCCTCGTGTCCATAACTCAGGCGCCACCGCCGTGAGCGTGGAGGACGACAGGAGGCGCACCGCACCGCACCGCACCGCGCGCGCCGCGCCGCACAGCAGCGGCTCGACACTGCCACTGCAGCCGCTGCTGCGGAGGACACCGGTGGCTCTCTCCACATCCCACATAGAGGAATGGCTTCGGATCAGACCTCATGGGCTCTACTCACGCGCACGATGCGCCCCTGAACGTCCGCCTGTCCGTGCGCGTCCGCCAGTCTAGCCGCGGATTGCTGCATTGCTGTTTTTCCAGGTGTTGTGTGTATGTGTGTGTGTATGTGTGTGTGTGCGCGCGCGCGTGTTGTAGACTAGTGTAATTCTCTTACGGATCGTTCTGAGCCGAGAACGGAGTCTGATGTCACATGTGCTTCATCGGAGGAGACGGGGCGTCTGCGAGCCGGATTCTGTGGAGGATGCTGCGGCAAGTGATTCACAGAGGGCTCAAGGCTTCCTTCTACTGGCTCGGGCTGTTCGTCAGCAGGCACCCCGTCTTCTTCCTCACCGTGCCCGCCGTGCTCACCATCATCTTCGGTTCCACCGTGCTGAGCCGATTCAAGCCGGAGCGGGACCTGGAGGTGCTGGTGGCCCCGACCCACAGCCTGGCCAAGATCGAGCGCAGCCTGGCCAACAGCCTGTTCCCCATCGACCAGTCCAAGCACAAGCTGTACTCGGATCTGCACACGCCGGGCAGATACGGCAGGCTGATCCTGCTGGCCAAGTCCGGGGGGAACATCTTGGAGCTGGTCGACCAGGTGCTGGAGGTCCACAAGCAGGTGCTGGACCTGCGCGTCAACTACAAGGGGTTCAATTTCACGTTCGCGCACCTGTGCGTGCTGAGCCACCGGGACAAGCGCTGCCTGCTGGATGATATCATCAGCATCTTCGAGGACATCCGGCAGGCTGTGCTGTCTAACAGCAGCTTCCACAAGGTGCCCCTGAGCTACCCCAACACCACGCTAAAGGTGAGCAGCCGCTGCATGCATGCCGGGCTCGTGCGCGCCTCACGCACGCGCGTGAAGGCTTACCGTCAGAGCTTGCCATTATTTGTGAATGAACGGTGTGTGTGTGTGTTCGTCGCAGACTGCTGCATCCATCAGACGGGTTCCCACCGCTCCGCCTCCCTATTGCCGCAGGTGGAGCAAGTGGCTGCATGTTGCACCGCACGCGCGCACGTACGCACACGAACGCACAGGGACATCCTGGGCTTCTTAACCACCCCCTCCCCCCGCTTGCAGGGTCTCCCTTTCTCTCTCCTGACATGGCCACCGTGCAGCTGCTGTGTATTCTCCCTGATCTGAGACCCGCAGCTTCACTAGATCGAGGGAGTCAGCAGCAGCTGCTGCTGGGGCACAGATGTGCAGCGGTGCGTCTGATCAGGTGTTTGTGATGGAGGTCTGAACCTGAAAATCCTCCACAAACATGAGTCCCAGCCTGGAGAGGCTGAGGCAGCATGCAGAGGAGGACAAGCTCGGTCTGATGAAATGCTCTGTTAAAGGAATGCATGTCTTTATGTGGTTGTGTTGCAAAACATCTGGTGATCGCAAAGATCCCATCCGAAGCTTAAAAATCTTATTTCTCAAGTTTGTGAATGCATCACAGCAAGCAGTGATTCTGCAGATGATGTTTGATGCACCCGTGCTAGTTTTAATTGTTTTGTTCCAAAAATGTATTTTTTTTCATATTTTAAAATATGTAAAATATTATAAGATCACTTAAAAATGAAGAATCTTGAAGTTAAAGTTAAAACTATTATTGCATATGAGCAGAAGCCAGGAGAGACGTCAGCTGACTGAATACCACCCTGTTTCTTTTTTATTGATCTCCAGTCGCTGTTTGTCAGGATCTATAAACACCAGCTGGCGACGTTAAAGGAGCCAGCCTCACTTATAAACAGCGTTTCAAATGCTGTTTACAAGCAAGTAGAAAAATGTGACTGGAGGCAGCTCGATGAGGAGTTTGGATCTTTTTAACCACCTGACTGGTGAGCAGAGGTGGGAAGTAACATTTACTTCAGTTACTGTAATTTATTCTTTTTTGTGTTTTTATACTTTTTCAAAACATTTCTTGAGTTTGTAAATTTACTTTTAATTGTGTATTTTAAAGGATTTTTACTTTGATTCCTTTTCAGTCAACACATTGTCACACCCGAGTAAAAAATACATTTAATGGTCTAATAAATGAAACGTTTTGTGCTGTGGAAAGACATCAACAGGCCAGAATGAGACATCGGCAGGAGGGCGGAAGATGGCGGCATGCCAGCTAGACCTAAACACGGAAGTGCCGAGGTGACGCGGTTAGTTCTAGTAACGCCTGAGTGACCAAAGTGTTTTCTGACAGAATGGTCATTAAAGGGGAAGAACAAATAATGCTACTGATTCCAGTTGGAGGATAAAGATCTGTAAAGTTGATGTCAGAGGTACAGGCCGGTCTACAGGCTGGTCTAGAGGCTGGTCTAGAGGGTAAATGAAGGAAAAATACTTTGAGATTTATATCCGTTGTATTTTTGCACTGCTCAGAAGAGGTTGCCCTCAAGCTGTCAAAAAGTAACTGAGTAACTTAAACTTTAAGTACATTTAATTTAGGCAACTTTTTTATTTTTACTTAAGTAAATTCTAAGACAGTCACTTGTACTTGAGTAAAAGTATTAGTACTTACCGGTAAGTAGATAGACTTTTTTACAGCTCTACCGAAGAGGAACAACTCAAACTGCAGGAAGAGGAGACGAGTTCCTCGTAGTTTTGTTTTAAATCAAAGTAAAGGTGAAACTAACACATATGTTTATCTGAGAAACACAGTTTAGCACTTCTGGCCCTTCCAGTGGGAATGTCTGACAAGAATAACTCCCCTTTTCCGTGTTTAAAACACAACATCTGATGGAAATGAGTAAAACGTAGAAAGTCAGAGGTCAGAGGTCACAGGAAGGCAGCAATCCTCTCTGGCTGTGGGTCCATCTGAAAAAATGAATGCTCTCTTCTGATTAGTCTTCTTCCACCTAACCACAGAATTCCAGACCGATGGGGTTTGGCACGGCAGCAATACGCTCTGGTCCTGACTCCTCCCACACCAGCCATTAGCTTATCAGCCCTGCAGGATGTAAACTCATTTTCTCTGAGCTGAGGCTGTTCAGGATTCTTCAGCTGTTGTAATTATTTAAAGTTTTCATGTGGAAATATTTTTGAAAATAGCAGAAATATTCTTTTAAAGGGACCATAAGGAAGTTTAACAACCAGAACATGTTTAGAAATGTAAAATGTCTTCCTCATCCATTCTCCTGCAACGCTCCAGTCCTATCGAATGATCCCTGGAATTTTTACTAAGATTGCCTCTGCATTCCTCAAATTGTTAATGGATAGATATAACTGAGTATCGTCAGCATAACAGTGGAAGTTTATCCTATGCTGTCTAATGATTTTACCAATTGGAAGTATATATTAGGGCTGTCGCGGTTGAGGAATTCCCCCTGCGGTGATTCAGGGTGGCTTAATATTGCGGTGTGCGATATTACTGCAGCCCTTTTTTATTGCAGTACTATCTAAACATAATGTTTACACATTTAAAAAAGGTTTAAAATTGCCGTGCCTTCTTTAATAACACTTTACTGAATGCAGATCAAAGGGCAGTAACAACACAGATCGCAGTAACGTTTGTTTCTCCGACAGTCGGAGTCCGACTGAACTTAAAAACAACAAAATTCAGGAGAAGGTTAAACTTTTAAATGCAAATTTGGCTGCAGCATCTAACAAATAACAAACAAGTCCCCATTTTGTTTAGTTGTTTAAGATCAAGCATAACAAATTACATGTACCGGGCACGCGCGCCAGGGGGCGGGGCACTATCATTTCACTTTCACACACACGAATGACGGTGCTTTATAGCTCGGTCACGTCCTTGTTACCCACAAGCAAAACCAGCATGTTAACCATATACGGTTTGAGAGAGGATCTGAGAGGGGTGTCAACATTTCCAGCAACACTGAAAACCCTCTCGGATGGTGCGCTCGTTGCACTAACGCACACGTACTTGCTGCGACTGGCGAGCAAAGGGAATCTCTCCCGGTTGTTGCTCCACCATGTCAGGGGGGTTTCTTTAGGGTGGATGCATTCCTCCTGCAGGTAGCGAGTGAGCTCCAGCTCGGCTCAAACTCTCTTCGGGGCGGTTGCAGAAGCAGTGCTTGTCCGGGACTTCAGCAGGTCTTCGAGAGTTTATTTATTTATTTATTTTTGCCGCTGGTGGCAGCTCTGTCTCGGCCAAGGACTCTGGCTGCGCAGCAGCTGACGTACTGAAAACCAAAGTGCTCCCAAAGGAGCGAAGTAACGTTTTGTTTTGATACCAGTGCAGCCATCCTTCTCAACATGCATCATTGAGTTGAACCAAGTTCAGTAATCGCGGTGGCCCATGATGCAGCGTGGTGGGCTTCTTCATATTGCGATATTTCATTTTTGCGGTTACCGCGACAGCCCTAGTATATATATAATAAAAAGAATTGGTCCAAGCACTGAACCCTGTGGTACTCCACAAGAAACCATGGAGTATGAAGAAGATTTGTCATGTACATTTACAAAATGAAATCTGTCAGACAGGTAGGATTTAAACCAGCCTAACGCTGTTCCTTTGATCCCTACAACATGTTCAAGTCTTTCTAAAAGAACATTGTGATCAACTGTGTCAAAGGCAGCACTGAGATCTAACAAGACTAGAACAGACACAAGATTCTTATCTGAGGCCATGAGAATATAATTTGTAACTCTCACTAACGCAGTTTCAGTGCTGTGATACTCTCTAAAACCAGACTGAAATTCCTCAAACAGATCATTAGTGTTTAAATGCTCACATACTTGGATGGCCACTATTTTCTCCAGGACTTTGGATAAAAATGGAAGGTTAGATATTGGTCTATAATTCATTGGGTCATCTGGATCCAGAGAAGGCTTCTTAAGTGAAGGTTTGATTACAGCAACCTTAAAATCCTGTGCTACATATCCATTTACTAAGGACAGATTGATTATATTTAGAATGGGGGCAGTAACCAAAGGAAATGCATCTTTAAATAATTTGGTTGGGATTGGATCCAAAATGCAAGTTGAAGGTTTAGATGAAGTTAATATTTTTGATAAGTCTGAAAGCTCAACTGGATCAAAATGGTTCAAGCACAGATGAGGTTCTACAGTTACCTCTGATGCTGCCTCACTTACTGAGGAAGAAGAAATCGCATTAGGGAGGATGCTAAAGATTTTGTTTCTAATAGAATTAATTTTACTCGTGAAAAATCCCATAAAGTCATTGCTGCTGAGGGCTAAGGGAATAGATGGCTCAGAGCTATGTTTCTGTGTAAGTTTGGCAACTGTACCAAAAAGAAATTTAGGATAATTCTTATTCTCCTCAATTAGTGATGAAAAATATGCGGTTCTAGCTTGTCAAAGCTTATTTTTATAAAGCACGAGACTATTTTTCCAGGATAAGTAGGACTCCTCCTGGTGGGAAGAGTAACATGTTCTCTCCAATTTTCTAGAGTTTTGTTTTAAAGTTCGTAAATGAGAATTAAACCAGGGAGCCAACCTCCTGTGCTTAATTACCTTCTTTAGTGAAATTTACTTTCATGTCTCGTGAAGTCAGTTATAAAAAACTCAAAGGTTATCAAAAAGTGGTCCGAGAGGACTGGATTATGTGGAAAGATCGTTATTTCCTCACACTCTATGCCATAAGTCAGCACAAGGTCTAATGTATGATGCAGGAGTGGGTGGAGCTATGTATTCTTTGAGTAAAACCAATTGAGTCTAAGATATTACTAAAGGCTACATTGAGGCTATCATTTTCAATGTCCACATGAATATTAAAATCCCCCACTACAATGACCTTATCAGTATTTAGCACCAAATTAGATAAAAAATCAGAAATCTGATCCAAAAACTCAGAGTAAGGGCCTGGTGGACGATATAAAACTACAAACAAGAGTGGTTTTACA